ATAATCAACCATTTGATATCATGCACACAATATATGGTTCAAACATTCAAAATATTTTCAATATTTTATTCCAAGTCATTTGATATTCAATATATATCAATAATGCTCTTAAATTATTCTTAATCTAAGGCCACATCATTTTATATTCAGCTCTTAGCTATTCCTAGTCTAAGGCAGTAATTCTAACCAGACCCTTAAACTATAAATAGTTTAATGCAGAACACAAGAATCGATAATCCACCCTATGAGTCATGTGGATTACGTACCAACCGAACAGTGAACTGTCGGGTGGGTGATATCCGTTCTGGATCCCGTACGTACGTTTTAACCCGAAATATGAATTGGTCAAGTAGGTATATCTTAGAGTTCTTCTTAATAATCATCACCAATATTTAAGTGGGTATATCTTAGAGTTCTTCTAGATATCCTTAATAATACACATTGTTTTCATAATCACCATTAATTCATTTTTTAATCATGACTTAATCATCAATAATCATTTTAATCAGTAGGTTTATCATTCATAATTATCCATAATAATTATTCATCATAAGATCATTCAACATAATATTTAATAGCAAACAGCGGCCTAGTCTCGGGTGTTAACACCCGAACTTATCGTCATGCATCACATAATGTTTTATATGCCAAAAACATTATTTATTATACAAAATCATATTTAAATTGTTCATAATTAATTAGTGTTTTCAAAGAATATTTCCAAAAATATTTTCGGAACACTGGAATTAAGGAAAAATGGATTTATTCAATAATTAATATAAAAATCGATTTTTAAATATATATTAATCTATTAAATATATAAAAATTGATTTTTCAACATATTTTAATCGATTAAATTTGAAAAATCTATTTTTTAACGTATTTTAATCGATTAATTTGTAAAATCGATTTTATAATATATTTTAATCGATTAAATACCAAAAATCGATTTTATACCTTAATATAATCGATTATTATTATTATTTTTATTTTGATACGCGTTACCTGAACAATTTTTAATCGATTCTTAGGAAGAAAATAATCGATTTTCGGTCACTGTTCATCGTCTTCTACCTTCGGTCCATTTTCGGACATATCAATTTTAGTTACCAAACTTCAATTAAACTATATAGAAATGTTCTCCAAGGTTCATAGATCATTTTAGAATCATTAAAACATATTTTTAACATCAAATTCAAGGTTTATGATTCTTGGTTCTTCAAACATGTCAAACACAAAACTCAACCAAATGACCATTTATGAACGTAAAAACAACCTATATGAACATTCTAATCTTTAGATATATCTACGGGCTTACCTTGAAGGTAAATGAAGGTTTTGAATATCTTCCGGCAGAACTTCCGGCGATGATTACTCCCTACTCCGGTGACTTCGGCGGCAACTAACAACACCAGACTGCTCCCNTGGGACTAATTTCGGTCCCAGTCGGGGTACTCTTTTTGGTCCAACTTTCTCCGAATTGAAATCCGTTTGCACCGTTGCGATCAGACAGTCGAACTCTATCCAACGATATAATTTTTATATTCATTCGTTATACTTTTTCCGACACCACATTTTTGGGTGTTTGACTTTAACAGAGTAAAAATTGGTTTAATTGACCTTTCTCATAAAAGGTTCTCTTAATTCATATCAATTATTCTCGTGATTTATTTCAACAAATCATTTCAATATTTACATTCTAAACAAATTCTTTATTTACTCTTGATTTGGGTCTGTACTCAGGTTCCCAATCAAGACCACACAAATAGTCCCCATATTGGGTTTATCTCTATGAGACTTATCCAGATTTTGATATTAGATGTCAAAACAAATTTTGTATCGGCCCAAAGCCCAACAATAATTTATTTTAATCAAAACAAATTTGATTAATTGATTATTTATTCATTAATAATTCTAGAGTATATTTTGGGGCGTTACAGATCCAATGATTCTTTTTCCTTGCATTAATTTAAAAAATCTCTCTCTGTTCCTGAGTATTTGTCCACTGTTGACTTTTTTGGTCAAAATTTGTAAATTTTGACCTCAAATGAAATAAAAATGATATTAGATATTGATACAAAATTAGTTTTATTTAATTTATTATATCATTCATTTTCAAAATATTATTTTATCTACTTAATATATGATATATGTTTTATTTAACTATAAGCCAAAAATTGAAAACAGTTAATCGAAAAAAGTCAAGACTGGAAAAATACTCAGGGACGGAGGATAATGAAAAAAAGGGATTCTTCTCATCCAAAACCCCAACTACCTCCCCCGCAATGATTATGAAAAATTATTATCCTTTCTTGCATTATAAAAAAACAAAATCTTAAATTAGTGATCCTAAATCTCTATGAATAAAAAAATAATTTTAAAATATTAAGAATAAATTATTCTTCTCCCCCACATTGATTTAAAAAAATATGAAAATGTTAGTGCTCCAATGATTTTGTTGGGATAGTATTCTGGTCAAGATATAAAATGTTCTATCAAAATACAAATAGTTACAAATTAGAAATTGTATTTTCTTTGATGTGGTTGTAACCTGTAATTGAGTCTTGGACTTAATAGGTATTACACCTTGGATTTTCTGCATAATCTTTCTTACTTTTTTGATTATCCTAAATCTTCATTGTCACAAATCTTTTCACGCTCCCCTCTGATCCAGACCTTGATCTTATTTGTCACAAATTTCTTTGCATAAATCTGTACCATCTCATAAAATATCATCTTATGAAGCTTCCATGTACGATTGCGTAAATGAAAACCTAGGAAGTAAGTCCTCTCTCATTCAAAATTTCTTGATTTTATGTATAAACGTTTTGAACTATAACGCAATATAAGTATGTATTGAGTAAATCGTAAGTTACAATATAAGATTATTTTGATTAAAATAGTACATCAAGTTACCAAGAGAAAGTATTAAAGCCTTATTAAATTTTTTTTCTAATTTGTTTATTTTTAATATTCAATATTTTAAAAATAGTCAAATTCTATGGAAATACTTTTATTTCATATCATAATAAGTCATCTTACCATAAACAAAAGTTCTAGGTAAGATATGCTTTGAGTTAATATCATAGTATACATACTATCCATTTGTATAAAAATAATGTACACAATCATGATACGTATAATTCTCTTAGAAAATAGTCTTATGTCTTTTAGTCACCTAATTAAAATTGTAAGTTTCTTAGAGTAATCTCAAAATAGTCTTTTCGAATAAGGTACTTTCCAAAATCAGTGTTATTAATCATTAATTATCTATGTAGTACTTTATAGTTGAGATTTATTCACGCAGTGTCCTCCGTATATGTTTGTTAAATGGATGTTCAGTGGAGGAAATTTAAGTATTTTCAACATTTAAATGTAGAGGAATCTTTCAAAATGACCCTTTCGGATTAACCTTTTTCCAATTTAGGTCTCTGTTTTAATAATTATAATTTTATCTCAATTCTGCATTTAGGGGCACCTTAAAGTTTTGTGTACATCTATTAGCCACTCATGTTCACGCTAGTAAAATTCAATTGAGGATGACCTCGCCTCCGATCTCCCACTTCATATCTATATAGAATTTTGATAAAATTCATGTACGAAAAATACGTGATTCGTTTTTTTGCAAATATTGTTTTGTTGTATATATCTCATGCGGATATTTTTTTGTGCTTTTGAAAAAGTAGTAGTTGTGACTTCAATATATGAAGTCAAAAGTGAAATATCTATGATTATTTTAAAATATTTTTGTAATTTTTTTTGTGAAACCCCTTGCAACTATATTTGTTTTACTATTTAAAAATAAATTCATATCAAGTGAAATTTTTTTGATGTAAAATACACATGATTATTTTTACGTGATAATTTTTTAAAAATATGCATTTTATTTTGGTATTTTCTCCATGTTTATTACTATTATGACATAGAGTATTTTTTCCAAAAAATTAGAGCAACACTGTACATAAGACATATACTCCATATACAACTTAAATTGGATCTACCATATTTTGATTAAAATTGCCACGTCATTCGATCGTTAATAGGTGGCGGGTGATTTGTTAAAACGTTGCCATGTAGATTTGCCACTTGTCGCAATTCTAGGAGTTTAAATCTCAAATTTAATTTATAAAGATATAGGAAAAGACTAAATAATTACTTGATTTACAAATACTACTGAGTAATAAATATTACATCGGTCATGGAATATTGTTTTAGTTTAATTATTTTGAATCAAAGTAGACAATTTTTAATCATCAATTAAATAAAGAAAACATTAGAAATTAGTATTGAAATAATTTTATTAAATTTTTATCACATAAGACTTTCAAAATTTATTTTATTTTACGTGTATTAATATGAATGTAATTTATATTTAATTGTTGATTAAAAATCATCACGTTCGACCTTAAATAAATAATGCTCGGTATATAGTTGAACAAGTAATTAGAGATAAAAAGCATTACCACTGCCTCGGAGTGTTTGTTCAGATTTGAAATTAATAGTGCAAAAAATAAATTGAAATTGGAGAATTTAATTCTATCTAATTCTATAGACAATAAGTATTTGTAGAAATCACCTTAAATAGGACTAAAACATAGAGAAAAGTATCAAAATAGAACTTTCATGTTTTTTTTCCAAAATAGGATTTTACACTGTGATAATGTTACTTTGCCCTGTTGTAATGTGGCAGTGTACATGTGCAAATTAATATACTTTTTTTGTAATGTATATGACCATATATGGTAATGTAAGTCCTATTTCGAGAATAAAAACATGCAAGTCCTATTTAGGTATATTTTCAATGTTTTAGTTCTATTCTGATCTTTCTCCTAAGTATTTGTGCGTGCATAGACAATTATTATCTGTGTGTCTGGGATCCATTTGGTAAGAAGTTAGGTAGAAACCGAGGTGGCATTCGGTGAACTTTGGTCCATTTTTACCCGTGAAAAAGTGAATCTTTATAAATTTTCCCGAAAAAACAAATGCGGATTAGCATTTCTATCCAATTCTTCAAATTCAGACGTCGTTTCATAGTCGCCGTTTGTTCTGTCCATTCTTGCAGATCACAGAGATGCGGTTTCGCGATTAATTAATTCGTTACTTCTAACGGCCGTATGGGACGGCGGCGGAGAATGACGGCGCTAATACTGTCGATCATCTCCCTCGGATTGCTCCTCACCGCTTACAATTCCGTCATGATCGCCGCTCCATTCAGAACGGCCGGCCGTGTGGGGAGCGTAAAAACCGGGAACCCGAAATTCCACGTCGCCGTCACGGCGGAGAGCACGGCTTACTGTAAATGGCAGCTCCGGATCATGTACTACTGGTACTTGAAGCACAAGGATTTGGGCGGGTCGGATATGGGGAAGTTCACCAGAATTCTCCATTCGGGTGCTCCGGATAATCTCATGGATGAAATCCCCACCGTCGTCGTCTACCCCCTCCCCCAAGGCATGGATTTGGTATATACTCCTTTCGTCCCAATTTATTTTATGTGGCATATTTATTTTTCACACAATCAAGCTTTAATTATTTTCTTTATTTATTTTTTACTTATTTGATAAAATAAAATAGTTATGGAATTTTTGATGTTGTTTTTAAATATATATCCACTCAGTCCCTTAAAGTTTTTTCCTTACTGATTTTTTGAAAATTTTTGTGATGACTTTTCAAAAATATCTTTGATATGATGGGTAAAAATAGGTTCTGATGAATAGATTATTACGGAGTAGTTAAAAGATATGATCGGATAGATAGGGTAAAAATTAGTATGGGTAAAAGTAACTTTTTAATAGAAATGGGAAAGAGTTTGTAATGATAATGGCATCGATGCCCCCGTTGTTTACAAAAAGAGCGTCAAAACCTTCTCTACTTTCAAAAGTTATTTGTAAAATCTCTGTGATTTTTAAATAGTGCACGAATGCCTCATCTTGCCTATTTTTAAACATAAAATGACATTTTTATCCTTTTTTCTCTATCATCAAATTTCACTTTTTTATTTTCATTTTTTGTTATACAAATAAATAAAATAAAATAAAATATACGCCCTCTCTCTCAAAGTAAAGTTTTTCATTTATTTAATTTTCAAAAAATAATTTTTTTAAAGAAAATGTTACAAAAGAAAATGAAAAATTAAATAAAGAAATAAAATGCACTTTTCATTATAAGTAAAAGTAAAATAAATAAAATAAAAAATTAGATAACATATACTCACTCCATCTCTAATTAAAAATTCTAACTTATTTATTTTTTAAAAGAAAAATAATTTCTTATGAAGAACAGAAAGATGAAATAAAATACGGAGTTAAAGAAAAAGATTGTTTTTTTGTATTTTTCTTTCTTTTCATTAGCTTTTTTCAATTATTATTTTTACTTTGTACAAAAAAATTTATTTTTCATTTTCTTTTGTAACATTCTCCAAAAAAATAATTTGTTTCCAAAAATACATTATAGAAAATTTTAATTTCAGATCGGAAGCGTTTATTTTATTTTATATATTTGTACAAAAAAGAAAAATAAAATTGGGAAAATTCAAGGTCGAGGAAAAGAAAGGGCATAAATGTCATTTTTTACTTTAAAAATAGGTAAGGGGACATGTGTGCTCTATTTAGAAACCATAGAGACTTTACACATAACTTTTGAAAACAGAAGATGTTTTAATGCTCTTTTTGTAAACCAAAGGGTGCACCCATGCTATTATCCCGAGGCTTGCGAGACAAGAAAAAATGAAAGGAGAAAGAGTTTAAGGGGCGGAGGGAGTAAACTTTATTTTTTTACTTCTATTCCAATTTTTATATAAATCCATTTGTAAATAATTTCAGTCAAACGTTGTAACCAACAACTAGGATGCCATCGATAAATTAATATAGTACTACGTACTAAATAGATAAGATGTGACAGGTAGATTCATACTTTTTAGTTGAATGTTTGTCTATTTCAGAATTATGTGGTGCTCAATAGACCGTGGGCGTTCATTCAATGGCTCGAGATTGCTACCATCGATGAAGAGTAATCTATCATACTCTCATCTTCTTCTCTCTGTTTTTTTTTTGTCCATTGTACATTTTGTTTTGGAGAGTTAAGATGCCCAATTTTTGCAGGTACATATTGATGGCAGAGCCGGACCACATTCTGGTCAGGCCGCTGCCCAATTTGGCGTCCGGGGAAAGCCCGGTGGGCTACCCTTTTTTCTACATCGACCCTTCGAAGCACGAACGAATCATGAGGAAGTTCTATCCCGCGGAAAAAGGTCCCCTGACCGACCTTGACCCCGTTGGGAACTCTCCCGTGATCATCAAGAAGGTCAAAATAAACCCAAAAAAAGAAGAAGAAGAAAGAAAATATCTACTTATTGATAATCACTAATTAGCTCCCCTTCCTATGTTTGTCCTATCAGGACTTGCTGAAGAAAATCGCGCCGACATGGCTCAATGTTTCCGTTCTAATCAAATATGATCATGAAGCCGATAAAGCTCTGGGTTGGGTTCAAGAAATGTGAGTGTTGTACGATACACACACACGCACTCCCTCCATGCGAGTTTTTCTTAAAAAGTGAACGTGTCGTTAACTCGTTAGGTACGGATATGCCATTGCTTCTGCTCTACACGGCGTGCGGCATACTTTGCGCGAAGATTTTATGATACAGGTTTCGATCCGAGATGAACCGAAGCACTATTGATTATCTTGTCTAATTTTCTTTATTGTATGTATAATGTAATGGATGTTTACCAAGTGTTGTAAAATATTCAGCCTCCATGGGATTTGGAAATGGGAAACAAGTTCATTTTACACTATACATACAGGTTGGACTACACAAAGGTAATTAACTAAGAAGTACACACTCTTCTATCTATACATACAGATGTTCATTAATTTGTACACTATTTCAAGTGTATTAATCCATGCATATCATACTTGCAGTTTATCTGATATGTGGTAAACTTGGCTTTTAGGGTGAGCTGACTTTTGGGATCAATGGAGACTGGGGATTTGACAAAAGAACGTATCTCCACGCCGCTCCTCCTAGAAATCTCCCGTTGCCTCCTCCCGGGATACCCGAAAGCGTGGTATGTATATAGTAGCATATACATATGCTCCCTTGTATATATATATCTATCTATCTATCTATATACCGATCGGTCGATAAAAATATATTAAAGAAAGGCGTGCGAATTCACTGTGAATTTTTTTATGCAGGTGACTCTAATGAAGATGATAAATGAAGCCACAGCTGACCTTCCTGGTTGGGATTCAATGAAGTGAACTCTCATAAAAGTCTAGCATATATACATTTAGGTAGGCATTAAGAAGAATTTTGCTTATTGATCAGCTCATATTCATCATAATCCTATATATATATATATATATATATATATATATATATATATATATATATATATATATATATATATATATATATATATATATATATATGTAAAAGAAAGTTTAGTTGTTGCAATGTTGACATGTGGCATGTCACATGTGCATCCACATGTGCACCCATTTATGAAGTGGATATATGCATTGCACCTATTTTAAATATCTTTTAATACATTTGTATAAGATTTTTCATTCCTTAATAATTCTGAATATATATATTTCACCATTGTAAAATAAGCTTCGTATTTTGAGTACACACACATAAAATTATTTTTATACTATCCACAGCTTATTTTAGTTTATTACTTTTCGAAAAATGATTGTATAAATTTAAAGGGTGACAACTGACAAATGACATTATGACACATATATATTCTCTAATGATGTATCATTATGCATGTAACTGATCCACTTTTTATTATAATATTTTATTGATTCAAACCATTTCTATTTAGTACTTAATTCAATGATTATTAATTTTGTAAAATTGTTTTTTTAAATTAACATACCAATATACTCTGTATGTTCCATCAGTCTAAAACATTTTTTGTCACTATTAGAAACTAAAACAACTAAAATTATATTTATAAAATCTCAAAAGTTTAGAATATATACGAGCTCGTGCGAAGCACGGGGTAAACACTAGTTCTAATAAGGATATGATGAAAATGTACACAAAAAAATTGATATAGGGTCATGCAAATTAAAACTGTCCTTTTGCATAGCTAGACATTCTTTAGAGATGTGTACATTGTGAAATGTGTACATAAATCATTTCATCATCAATATATAGACCGTTAGAAAACTAAAGTTGTATCTCTTGGAAAAAACCCACTCAACTACATTGTGACATTTTACATTATGTTGTTATTATTATGGGGAGATAATGGGGAAGTGGTATATATGGCAATAGAAACTGGTGCAGAGGAGAGAGAAATATATGGGCTTCAAAAACATTTTTAAAAGTAGAAAGTGAAACTTTTTTTAGGACGGACGAAAATGAAAATGTGAAATTTTATTACTACGTTCGAGATAAAGGAAGTATTTGATTGTTTGGGTTGGATAAAATAAAATAAGGAATAAAACATGTAATAAAAACCACTACGAGTTATAAAAAGGATATAAGAATTAAAACTTAAAAAAAATATCTAAATAATTAAATAACAGGTAGTGCTAAAAATGTTTAAAATGCCTAAAATAAAGAAACAAAATACTAACTCAAAAACTTACTTAAGAACAGCTCTCTTACTCATCGTATTCTTGGATATTCTTCACGGTGTTCCTCAATATTTTTCACATTTGTGTCATCTTCTTTTGAGTCGGAAAAATGAACTTCCAACTTCTTTCAATTTCTTCTAGTTTCTTTCAACTCATTCCAGTTTTTTCCAACCGCGACTAAAAAATGTATTTATATGTGATGTATATACAATGACATTATATATCTAAATTTATAACATACCACCTGAAACAAAGATAATGATGAATTCTTTTTTTATCTAAAATTTGAGTTTTCTTACGTATTTATTTGGTTGATTATTTAATTAAGTGACTTTTAACATTTAAATTATTCCAACAGTTTCCAACTCCTTCCGATTCCTTCTAGCATCCAATTCTGAAATTTCAACGCAAAAGAACATGACCTAATACTCATTATTTTTAGTACTCCGTAATAGAATGTTCATTTTGAATATTTTTCGAAAGAGTGTTTCTTTGGTGTACCTAAAGTCCAAAAAAAATTGTAGATATTCTCACATAAATTTTATTTTTTTTATTTTTTAAAACATAAAAATAAAAATGCTTATTTCAACAGTAAGCAAATGCTTATCAACCTCATCTATAGGTGCATCGTGAACCTTAGATCCACAGTAGAATTCAACTTTTTGAAAATAATAGGAGTATTGTTTTTCAATAGAATGTTCTCTTGGGATCGTCCCGGCCCATAACCCTTCTCACGTGGGCTGCGCGTCACTTACAAGTAGGCCGATGTGATCCCTCCCGCGGGCTCCCCTTCTTGGTGGGCCGAGACCTGGCATTATTGGCCTAAATATATTTTACCCACACTGATTAGGCCTACTCCCAAATATCCCCATCACCTTGTTTTAATTTTTAAGATATACTCCGTAATTCAATTGTGCATACTTCTTTCGTCTTGTAAAAAAAGTTTACAGTTTACGTAACACTACCTACGTATGGTTCAAGAAATTTGAAAGGGAAAAAATCGAGATGGAAACAAATTTTTTTATTTGGTTAGAGAGACAAAGAAAAGTAGATAGAAAAGAAAATGAAAAGGTAAAATATATTAAAAGAAGAGAAAATCAAATTTCTTCCATTTTGCTGAGAAAAATGTGAGAAACTCATTTTCATTTTTTTTCCTTCTTAATTCCTTGAACCAAATATAGTGTAAATGAATAGAAAAGGAATTTGTTCACACTTCACACTTATCATTTTTTTAAGAACATGAGTATCCATTATTTCTTTCTTCCCACAAATTACGGAGTATAACCTTTGATTTTTTATTCCAGAACTTTGTGAAATCAAACTAAAAATTCCTTTAACATAGTTACATTGGGAAACCCGCATTGTATTTCACATTATCTTAAGCATCTAGATTTACCATTTTGAAAAGAAAAATTTACCTAAATATGACTAAAACATAATGACTTTCCTAATATAGGACCATATGTTTTTATTTCCCAAGGTAGGACTTTTGGTCAATATCAACTAGCCATTATTCAAGTAATGTCTAGCATTACTGGACATTATTCCTCCCACTAGATCATTATTTAATCCTATTTAGGGAATAAAAAAGTTTAAGTCTTAGATTAGGAAAGTCATTATGTTTTAGTCATATTTAGTGCAAATTTTACTTTTGAAAATACTACTCAAGAACAATTATTAGTGTAAAAGAATGTCCTTAGATAAAATGCAACCAAAATACCAAAGTAAGAGTTTATAATTTTTATTCGTTAAATAGTATTTTTGACAGTGTAAATGATGATAATGTGATGACAATATAGTTGTGTGATTGGTGGAAATGTGGTGGTGGATCACTGCTCAACAGTGGTCAACGCTAGCGACACATGGCGGCACTCGAGGAGCCTGCGGCAAGGCTTCGGTGACAGTGTAGCAGCGCTAGCGTGAGAGTGTAGCAGGGTGCAATGTGGGAGTGGTAACAAAAAGAGTCCTACTCCCATTATGGTATTTTCATCATTTTTCACTCCTGTTTAGGTACTTTTCCTTTAGTTTAAATATTTTCAAAGTTAATCTTAATGAGAGGAAAATTTTCTAAAACAATAACATTATTCTGCCCATACTCCCGAAGTCTTAAGGCGTCAAAAGAACAAAATGAAAAAGGATAAAAAGATGAAAAGTAAGAATGACCCATTTGGTTACCATCTCCAAGACTTAAAAAGGATGAGCCCCAACTTTGAGGACCAACTCAGACCCGTTTAGACGGTCACTAAATAAAAAATTAGTGGTAAAGATTTGAACTTTCATTTGATATTTGCAGAGGTCCTACGCCTAGCATAGTCGTCTTTCAGCATAGTTGCTAGAGTCTTACCCCTTTGTCAATGGCACAACACCCACCGGCACAACTTCCAAGATTTAAGACTCTCTTTCGAGAGGTTTTGAGTTCGAATATGAGGAGCTGATCAACCAGTATGTAATGACTTTTTATATGCAAAGGAGTACATGTCCTCATTTGTGAAGAAAAAAATACTCAAGCAAGTAGATAGTGTGATAATTGAGTACACAAGGTAAGGGAGCCATGTGACATTTCTTCCAATCTCAATGGGAGACACCCTGTGGTGTACCTACCCCAATGCACTCAAACTTTTCTTAGCCTCCACTTCACTTCTTTTTGCTCCCTTTACCCCATTCCCATGTCTCTCCCTCCCTGGTTTTCTCCTCCCCTCCTCGGTTTCAATGTTTAATTTCATCCCCTTTTGAATAATTTCTATAAGAGAACATTTTCATATTTAGTACTTTTTCAAGGAACGATGTCTTTTTTAACTTTCGATCATCGTTATTTTGAGTACTAGAATTCTGACAAAAGACAACACTTGTAGGCTATGGTTGCAGATATCGAAATGGCCCGAGTTTGTGATTGTTCTGGTCTTAATCTCGTATTATAAAAATGGATTGGAATGGTTCGAGATATGATAATATCCTATTTTGTCCCTTTAGTTTGGGACCCTGACAATTCGAAACAGTTCAGGATGCCCCAATTTACACTTTTAATAAATATAAACATAAATATTTTTAATATGTAACCTCTAAAAAGTAAATTGAAAATTTTGTACTAACATTTTAAATAAATTCTCAAATAAAAGTGAAATAAAAATGTTAAAAAAATAACATTTTAGTTTACAAATCTTATGAAATTGGACTAAAGAAAGTAATGTGAATAAATGTTTGTGTTTATATACATAAATACACGGGACAACGGGATGAAACGAGATATTCTTTATTTGTCCCAGTCTCGTTTCATTTTTGATCGATTCGGAGCAGGTTCGGGACAAAAATATTTTGTCCCAAACGAAACAAAACAGTATAGAGATGAGACTTAGATATTTTGGAACAAAACAACTTGATCGAGATTCTTGTCCACCCTAACTCCTTCCAATTATCTGAATTAAGGGAAGAAATATGTGATTCACATTATGTCTCTCTTCAGCATAATCATTCATCATACAGTTTGATTTTTTTAACTTTGAAAAATGAACTCAAGATATTTTTTTGAGACAAAAACAATGACACTCCATCAGTTCAAAAAAGAATGTCACACTTCACTAATAAAAAATTACGAGAACTTTTCTTTATTTTTCCGTTTTTATTGGTTAATAGATAAAATAAATTATTATTGTCATCTCTTTTTTTTAGAACTTTTGACGTAAATTTTAAATATGTAATTTTTATTTTTTTATTTTTATATCAATATTTAAATAAAATGAACCGAAAAACTTACAATTTTGCTTCGTTTTGAGTAATGTTACAATATTTTTAGGCAAAGGAAGTTCATAAAACGAATTCAAATTTTTTTAATCCATTTTATTTAAAGATTAGTATAGAAACAAAAAATAAAATGTACATATTAAAAATTTTTATAAAATAAGAGATGACAAGAATATTATTTTATTGAATAGTCAAAGAAAAACACACAAACAAACAAAAGTTCTCGTAATTTTTGAATAGTGAAATGTAACATTCTTTTTTTTAGGAAGAAATATTCCCTCCATCCAACAATAAACTTATCAGTTATTATTACGGGGGCTCTTGATAACTTATATTTGCATAAATTTATCAATAATTTGATGATAAGAAAAAATATTCTTGTCATATCTTTTTTTGTAGAACTTTGATGTAGTTTTAAATAATAAAATTTATATTTTTAATGATTTACCAACGTGTAAATAAAATAAATTTAGAAAAGATGAAATTTTTATATGTTATTCAAACTAGGAAGTTAATTGTTAGAGAGAGGAAGTATGAATTATTTTAAAATGATCATGCTACACTTACACCAACAAATATACCCCATTTGTACACCACAGTTTTGCACAAACATTTCGATGGTTTACACCGACACAAGTGTTAGTGCGTTAATAAAAATTCACACGGATACAAATGTTGGTGCGTTTAACAAAAATTAGTTTTACACCAACACAAAATGTTGGTGCAAAACTGCGGGGTACAAATTGGGGTACAAATCTTGAGTTACAAATAGCATAATCCATTTTTAAAACATCAAAATTCAAAAAACAATAGGGGGGCAAAGAATAGGAGTACAAAACCAGCTAGCTAGCTAGCTAGTGTTGTAGTGTGTGTGTGTGTATATATATACAAGTGGTCAATTTGGAAACCACCACAAATCCAAAAAACCCCAAAATTAGAATAGAAAACATGAATTCCATAGTCCTCTTCTCAATCTCACTATCCCTTGTAGCCTCCGCAGTGGGATTAGAAAAGGGATTTATTACCCTGCAAGTCCTCCAAGCTCCTTACCCCTCGTCCCCGGCCAACCCATGGGAGGAATCCGCCGTCCTCCGGATGCAGGCCGGGGACGAGGCCCGCCTGCGGTATCTGGGCAGTGTGGTCGCCCGGAGATCCGACGTTCCAGCTGCCTCCGGGCGGCAGATTACCCAGAGCCCGACTTACATTGTGGGTGCCAAGATTGGGACGCCGCCGCAGGCGGTGACGCTCGCCCTTGACACTAGCAGTGACGTTGGCTGGGTTCCCTGCTCCGGCCACTCCGCGGCGGCCGCCTCCTTTGACCACTCCAAGTCCGCCACGTTCAAGAATGTGTCCTGTGGAGCTCCTCAATGCAAACAGGTTGAAATTCATTTCAACAACTCCCACAAGTACTTTATTTAAATCTTTTTAATTGTCTGTTTCGCTTATATATAAAATTTTATAATAATGAATTAAGATACAAATAATATACCAATTTATTGGCATTGAAAAATAATTTTAATATATTATTTTTAATAATCTTTTGCAAATATATTTTAAGAGATGTTGCTGGTCAAACATTGTGATCGAAAAGCGAATCAGACACTTAATTAGAATGGATGGGGTAGCAAAGAAAATGACAAACTCTAATCTCAACGACTTAGAACTGTAGTTAGAAACTATCAATTTTACTAACAAAGTATTATATGTATCGGATGCCATGCTACATTTCAATTTCATGTCACTGTTTATTCAAAGGGAAGTGCTAGGGGCTGTTTGTTTCAGTCATTTAATGGTTCAGATCTCTGAATGGTTCAGTACTTAATGGTTCTGTTTGTTTCAGTCTCTTAATGGTTCAGATGTCTGAATGGTTAAGAGATTTGCCTCTAAATGGTTATGTATTTTACATAGTCTGAATGGTTAAGACTTTTTATCTGAATTGATCAGACATTTGCTTCTGAATAGTTAATCAATATACTAGCTCTTAATGGTTCAGATTTCTTAGTGGTTCAACACTTATCTATTCAGATCTCTTAGTGGTTCAACACATAACTCCCTTCTCTTTTTTTAGGTGTCTAACCCGAGGTGCGAAGGCAATGTTTGCGCATTCAACCTCACCTCGGGCGGATCCAGTGTAGCGGGGACCCTCTCGGAGGACAACATTACCCTCTCGAGAGACGCGGTGGCCGGATACACCTTCGGGTGCATCCAGAAGGCCGCCGCCGAGGGCGCGGCCCCGGCGCAGGGCCTGTTGGGGCTGGGCCGAGGCCCATTATCATTCCTCTCCCAAACAAAGGACCTCTACAACTCCACATTCTCCTACTGCCTGCCCAACTTCAAGTCTTCCGGCTTTACGGGCTCGCTTAGACTAGGCCCAGTTGCGCAGCCCAAGAACATTAAGTCCACTCCGTTGCTTATCAACCCTCGCCGGCCGTCGTTGTACTACGTTAATTTGATCGGAATTCTGGTCGGAAAGAATCGGGTCAACATCTCCTCCGCCGCGCTTGCCTTTAACCCGGCCAACGGTGTTGGGACCGTTATCGATTCTGGTATGTTTACCGTATCACGTTATCACTTCCTTTTAATATATTTTTTTGAGTAAATTCCCAAAATTTGTAATAAGGTGTTTTTCCAATTGAGTCCCCGTTTTAATTATTTACGTGGTCCTCTATAATTAAGATTTGTTCTCAAGATAGTCTTTCGTAAATAATATTATTCAAATGATGATTAGTTAGGAGATATTTTGGTATTTTGATCATCTAAATTTTAATTATATTCTCGAAACAGTTATTTCTGTACAATTAAATGTAGAATTTAAAAAATACATTGACTATAAATAATTCATAAATTATTTAAAACTTATAAAAAATCTTTTAAATTTCAAATCAAATACACATATTTAATTAGAAAAAACCACTTTGGGAAAGCACTTAATTATAAATGATCATTTAAAAAATTAATTTTAAATTTAGCGGATAAAAAATACCAAAATACCCTCAATTAATTCTCATTTGAGTAACATTATTTACGAACGACTATTTTTGGAACAAATCTCGAGGATCACATAGGTAATTAAAACTTATTGAGGACTGATTTAGTAAAATACCTTATTACAAAGGATTATTTTGAAAATTTACTCTATTTTTTCAACGAAAATTACAAATTTGATTTATTTATTTAATTAATAATGAATGTTTATTTGACGGAAGTAATAAGATTATTTGATGACATGCGCACCACAAATACTAGAAGAATACCTTTACTTTTCATTAATATCCTCATCCCCACGTCATTGATTAGGAGTATTTTGGGAAAGAAATTTTAAATTTTAAATTTCTTTAAAAAATGTGAAAAAAAACTTAAAATCAATTTCGAGTCCACAAATAAACTTCTCGTTGCGTGATACGATGTTTGACTGAATTTATTTTCAAATTATTTTATATGAAAAATGGTATAAAATTTAAAAATAAAAATTACATATTAGAAAAACTATATCAAAAGATCTACAAAACTAGAGGTGACATTACTATATTACTTTATCAAATGGATGACAAAAATAATCCAACAAAGTAAATAAAGTTTGACTCTGTGAATAGTGAACGGGAAGTTTTATTTGCAGACAGAGGAAGTATTTCTATTTTGATAAAGAATGTAAAGCATCATTTTGAGATAGTCTAATAAAAATGGAGAGACAAGTATAGTTTTTGTTTGAGATTACAAAGTTAAACTTTCATTTAAATTGTCAAGATTAAAAATAAATACTGAGTAAAAAGGAGAAGGTGCACATAAAGTGATACTCCCCCGTCCTAAAACTTTCTTCCCAGAGCACTATTCCAACTTTACGGGAATTTATATTTATTTGTGTTTTTTCATGGCCTATATGATAAAATAAAATATTCTTGTCACCACTTGTTTTGTTGAACTTTTGATGTAGTTTTTAAATATGAATGTTTTATTTTTTATTTCTATACCAATATTTAAATAAAATAGATTGAAAAAAACTTGAGATTTTTCTTTGTTTTGCGCAACGGGAAGAAAGTTTTAGGACGGAAGAAGTACAATTTAACGGTAAAAAGCGAGAAAAAGCACTAAAGTTTTGGTACGAAGTGTTTCAGTTCATTAATGATCCGTTCCGGTTTTGTTGTTCCTTTGGAATATATACTGGCGTTCCGTTCATAAAATTAATAATTGTCTCTTTAACATAGAGTATATCGTATATTCCTAAATCTTCATTCCAAACCTTCCGCTGCCTAATCACCACACATTTGGAGAAGGCAAACGAGAGCGCTGTGGAGGTAGGGGTGAGACAGGAGGGAGATTTTGGGAGGTTAGGGCATAAAATCATCATTTTTGTAAACGGGGCACCCTCAGTGCTGCAAAAAAACCAGTGACATCGATCAGTAGTGGCAACGAAACTGCAATGAATAAAAATAAAAAAGTTAATGGTGTACAACACGTACAAATTTTATAGAGAAGAGATCATATGTTCGTCCACCAAACAGATTTAATCTTTTCATTTGATCGTTTTTTGTCAAATTTTATAAATTTTAATCTCAATATGACTAAATAAGACATTGTCTTTTAATATAAATGTAATATCAATAGTTTTATTTTGAAACGTGGTTTTAAAATGTTAAAATTGTATTACTTGTTTTGTCACCTCTTGTTTTGTATTCCTTTCGTCTAGATTTTGATTACAATTTCTCTCTTTCATCTTGATAAATTTTATTTATTTGTATGTTTTCATTAATTATTTGATAAAATAAAATATTCATGTCACCTCTCGTTGTGTAGAACTTTTAACATAGTTTTTTAATGTATAATTTTTATTTTTTATCCATATACAATTTGTAAATAAAATGTTTCAAAAGATGAGAATTTTTGCCTCGTAAATCCCAATTTATAATCAAATTTGAGACAGAGTGTTAAACTTTTTATTTAGTTTTTAAATATATAAATTTTATTTTTAAATTTTATACTTACGATCAAATAAACTAAATTGAAAATAAAGTCGCTTAAACCTCGTAAATGAAAACGAGAAGAACATTTTAGGACGGAGAGAATATGTATGTGTGTGTGTGTCTATATGTATGTATGTATGTATAAATAATGATATCTAACTAAATTGAAAAATAAAATCGGTCAGAGAGAAACAAGATAAACGTTTCAAGTATATTATGTATAAATACTAAAATTAATCATCAAAATATAACATTAGAAATAATAAAAAGACAAACAAGAAGATTAAATCTAGACAAAGGGAATATTTACAAATATTTTTTTTTGTCAAAGTATACAAATAATAAAAGTACTTTTTGTGACAATTATATTTGTACATTTGTGGCGCTAGCATTTTTGCAATTTAAGTACGGAGTAAAACATTAATCAACGAAAGTTCCTCGTCACCGTGACACTAAACCCTCTCTCTTTTCATGTGACTTTTGGCGCGTCACGGACAGCTCATCAAAAATTTCACAGACGCCCGTGATATAAAAGCCTCCCAAAAAAATACAGTATAAAATTCATTCTTAAGAAACAAATTTAAAAGTTAATCCGACAACGAGAGATAAAATTATTGATGTACCAATAATGTAATTTTTATTTTTTTGATGATGTATCAATTTGTAAATAAATCAATTTGTTTTTATTGATGTACCAATATGTACTACTCTACATGGACCTACATATGAACAATACAATACGAAGTACTTCAAATACGATTACATGAAGCAGAAAAAAAATCAATCCCGTTTAAAAACATTATATAAACGGTTCGATACCATTACAGTCTGATATGGTACCATGCTAGTTCGGTTTCTTTGGTCATCCTAATGCAAAATTGAACCAATTCAGGGACGGTTTTCACGAGGCTAGTGCAGCCGGCGTACGAGGCGGTGCGGGACGAATTCCGGCGGCGGATGGGGAGGGCGACGGTGTCGTCCCTGGGAGGGTTCGACACGTGCTACCAGGTCGCGGTGACCATACCGAGCATAACGTTCGTGTTCGAGGGGATGAACGTGACGCTGCCGCAGGACAACTTCCTGATCCACAGCTCCGGCGGCGGAACCACCACCTGCCTGGCCATGGCCGCCACGCCGGCGCTCAACGTCATCGCCAGCCTCCAGCAGCAGAACCACCGCGTCCTCTTCGACCTCCCCAACTCCAGGCTCGGGGTTTCCCGCGAACCCTGCACCTAATTAAATCATTTGGGGTTTTTTTTTTGAATTTATGGTAACAATAAATTACTGAGTGGTTAATTTTAATTCCATAGAGTTAATTAATTAATTATTGACCGGTCACGGGGAAGACTGACCGATATGGATATGATGATGATGTTATTGTTTTTGTCGGGTTTCACTTTTGTTTACAGCCGTATTACTATTATATTTACATGTGAAAAGACAGAATTTCTGCACCATTTTGGAGTGTGTGTAGCAAATCACGGATTGCAAATGTTTTTGGCGTTTTCACTTTTTCTTAAATTTATTCCTTCCCTCTTGAATGAATCGTCTCGATTTGATTTTATGATTAAAAATAGTGTTGAAAATTAAATATAAGTTTTCTAAATTATTTATAGAAATAAAAAAGAGAAATTTACTTAAATAGCACTAAAATATAATGACTTTTCCTAAATAGCACCACATGAGTTTTTCTTCTCAATGTCGCACTTTTAGTCATTATGCATTAGTCATCTCAATTCAAGCAAATATTCGTCATCATTAGATATTATGGACATTATTAAGTGTTATTTAGGAAATAAAACAGTTTAAGTGTTATTTAGGGAAATGACTTAAGTTTTAGTGTTATTTAGTGTAAATATTTCAATAAAAAATGATTGGGAACTGCATATTTTATACTTTCTCCGTCCCATTTTATAACGCCTGTTTCGGTTTACGATGTTTGACTGAAATTATTTTCAAACTATTTTATATGACAAATGGTATAGAATTAAAAAATAAAAATTACATATTAAAAAACTACATCAAAAGATCTACAAAACTAGTAGTGACAATAATATTTTATTTTATCAAATTACTAACGAAAATAGAGAAAGAAAGTGAATGAAGTTTGACCCTGTGAATAGTAAACAGGCATTATAATTTGGGACGGAGGGAGTACTTTATTAGAAAAATAAGAAAGTAGGGTATTTATTTCAAAAAAGACTAAAAAAAGTGAGGCGATTATTTCAAAATGAAGGGAGTGCTTAAAATTGAATAGTTTCTATAGTTAGTAGTTGCAAAAAAATGGTTTCTATATTTAGTCTTTTTTACCAAATGTTTTTGTTCGTGTTTATTTGTTTATGCGTATTTCTCTACCGATAGTGTTTTTACAAATGTAATTTTACATTCACCCTACATTTTTCTTATTATGGTCAATGTCAATGATCACTTATATGTCGTTTTGCTAGAATTGCCGCCCCCACAATCATTGCCTTGGCTATTGTTGTTGGTCCAAAACCAAAATTGCAGCTATATAACGATTATTGTTATGCTATCCGTCAAACCAAAATTAGAATACATGGTCGTATACTAAGGGTGATGTGAAATTATATTTTTAGTTTTAAATTTAACATCAACTTGTTGGAAAATCAATTAAAGGCTATTCAAGGAGAGGTATCTATAAGACAAAATTATAAACGTCATATTTGAAACTTGATGGAAAATCTTTGGTTTTAAAGGACCACAAGTCCACAACGCTTAATATAGTATGATAATCTTCATATTGTCAAATTTTAACCATTTCCATTACCTATTTTCTATACTCATTTAATCACATAAGATAATCAAGTCACTTCTTACTTTATAAAACTTTGAAGATAATTTTTAAATATATAAATTTTATTTATTAATTCTGCACCAATTTGCAAAAAATAAATTGAAAACAAATCCACTCTAACATCGTATAAAAAAACAAGCTATTTAAATTAGGATGAGGGAGTCAATCTTTTTCTTTTCATTTGAACTTATCAATTTTATTGTGAACTTCTTGAGATCTAATCTAGTCTAATTTGATTGTAGTATAATTTAGAGTTCTTTTTTATTTGATATAATCTAATTTGATTTTTTATAAAAAAAAATATTGTTACCTCCGTCCCATGCCAAATTCACAAGTTAGCTTTGTGGAGATAAAGAAAAAATTTAGAAGTCATTAAAAAGATATGTGAGAAGGTGTAAACGTGATTGAGAGAGTAAAGCAGAGTGTAAAAATGACCAAAATAGTATGTATAAGTGATTGGAAGAATAAAAACGACGATTAAAGAAGTATGTTGATTGTCCCAAATTAGATGTGTGCCTTATGAAATGGGACAAAGCTAATATGTAGAAAAAGTAAAAGAGTAATTTAACTTTGTAAATAGGAAGGACCAAGAAGTTTAGGAAGGACCAAGAAGTTTTTTTTTTTTTTTGCCACAAAATCGAAGCTCTTATGTAGACTCAAAAAGAAAAGAATGCGTAACTACCTCCCAACAAATAAATTAATTATTACCAAATCTCCAATCATTAATTTAGCATTTGGATCAGAGCGGTAACAGTCAGAGCTCTTATGTAGACTCAGATTAAAAGAAAAATCCACCCTGTTACTTTCAAAATTGCACGATTTTACATTATTAGTACTGAGTATCATGTTTAATTACTACCCTTATTGAATGCCGGAGCATGAGAGCAATTGGGTAAAATCAGACAATTTTGGGGGTAATAACGTGAATTTTTCCTTACCAAAAAGAGCAATATAATCACTTTTCTTCTTTAAGCTGGTGTAGGGTGGAAGCGGTCTCTTTTACGTAAGAGGGGTCCTCATCCACTGTGTCGTTACCAGCCGCCGCCGTCCCCGGCATGGTTGGAGAAAAGGGACCGCCGCGGTGTGAACTGGCTGCGGCGATGGGATTATTCGCGGGGGAGGCGGAAATGGCAGCGGCAAATGAAATGGGCATGAGGCAGAGGCCTTTGCCTTGGAGGTATTGCATGGCGGTGCCCATGTCGTCTTCCATTAGCTTCGCCACCTGCTGCTCCGTCAATCTCATGGTGTCGCCGCTAGAGGAGGAGGACGGCGATGCCCTTTTGGGAGTAGGTGTTCCTTTGCTGCCTACATTTCCTTGTATGCATTCGCTTGCCCCCTATCACATCACATCAGATATCGTAGTTACAAGAAGTGGTTTGACTATTTTATTGTAGCAAATGGTTTCAAAAAAACTAAATAGAGCCTCGAGAGGGTGTGTATGTAGACCCCTACTCGAAAGTAGGGAGGCCGTAGCAAATGGTTCAACAACAACGACCCAGTAGAATCGCACATCAGTACAGCCTTGCCGCCGGTCTGGGTCTGGAGAGGATATGTGTATGAAGACGTTACTCCTACTAGAAATAGAGACCAGTTTCAAGAGTTCCCCAGCTCAAGCGTCATAGCAAATGGTTAAAGAAAATATATAAAGAAAAAAAAGATATGGTTTGGTCATTAGAATAAATAGTGAATGAGACCAGTAGTATAGGATGAAGGGAAGTGTTAATTTATTGTGTAGAATTCATAATTGTATGTAAATAATTGAAAAAAAAGGGGAGTACATCACTACTCTCTATCTTAGTGAGGTACTCCATTCATCATTTGCAAAATTATGGCGGAGTATAATTTACTTATGAAGGAATTGAAAACAGCTTTTTTTTGTTTCTCTATCCTCGAAATAATTTTCAATCAAAGAGGAATAACATTTATTTAAAGGACGCAGGGAGTAATAACTTACTATGTTGTTAATTTTACGTCTTTTCTTTGAAAAGAAAATAACTTACACATCGCGGGTAGGGGTGGGGTCGGAGAGTTGTGTTGACTAAATGTTACTTCACGATAAAAGTAGCGCAGAAAATTTAAGAAAAACAACGTAGTTTAGTGCAAAGAGAGAAAGACGAGGAGTACCTCCGAAGACATAAGGGCAAGTAGGGGAGCAACAGTTGGAGCACCACCCAATCTGCTCACACTCAGAACCTGAGTCAATGAAAATTGAAAGCCAGTGGTTTTATGTTGTTCTTGCAATTACAAAATGACTCAGTGACTCACCCAACCCTCTTTTTCCAAACATTTGATCGAACTTTTTTTTTATAAATGAAAAATGAGAGATGGAGATTTTACTTTGACTTGGAGCTGGAGAAATTTAACATAGTCGATGATCTCATCCAGCATTGAAGCCTTGTCAGTCTGTCATTCCATAACACAATCCCATCCACATTAGTCTCCATTTTAAACAAACTATTCTCAGTCATGGTTGTAATGAAATCGCAAAATTCTAATTTCATTAAGTGACAAGATTGGTTTTTCCATATTTTTATTTGATTTCATTTCAATGGAAGTTAAAAAATGATGTGACAAGATTGAGAAATTGTCTATTGTTCATTGGTCTAATATAAAGTGCTAAATGTACTCTAGACATTAGACCATGATCTAGCATTTGGCCATGCTCAATCTTAGATGACTAAAGTAGATCGAGTATCTGGATAGGGACCTCGACAAAGTTAGACTATGATTTTTAGCTGTAATGTACTTAAGATTGGTATATTTGTTATATTTGTATTGTATAGAGTGAATATTAGTATTAGTCTTACCCGGATTTTTATGAGTGCATGAATCTTGTTGGTAGTCAAAACCATATTATATTTATAGGCCATTGTGTTGGTAACAATTTGATAAATAAATAAATATATTCCTTATCTGATTTGTTGGTAAATATAGGAAGTTATGGCCATGTATTTAGTGCTGTGTATGGATACAGGTGGGGAGACCAGCAAGCCACCATATCTAAACAATAAAACGACAAATGTATCCAACAGCCATAATGCAAACACAGTTAAGACATTTTAGGATCAATATTTATCTCTAACCATCAACATTAATAATCATAGGTGATAACAATCGATCATTAAGTTGATCAGTTATTGAAGTTAAAATTACCTTATTAGCATTGGGAACCAGCTCCTGCAGGGACTTCATTCCATCTGCGATTCTCTCTCTCCGTAACTGACATTTGGTTTAGCACAGAGAAGCAAAACATAAGCCACCATAATAGCAATCAGAAGCATACTACTAGTAATAGAAACATGGAAATAAACAATTCAAAGATAAAAAAAAATACAGGATATTATCTGGAGACGAAAAAAAGGAGAAAGGAGCATCAGGGCGTACTCTCTCAGCGATGCTGTGAGGATCGGTGGCTTGTCCTCTACGAGCCCTCACTCGCGGCTGTTTTGGCGGGACTGGCAGTGCTTCTTCTCCCGTCGGTGCGGAGGTTAGCGCTTGGTTGAACGGTGCCGCAGGTGGTGCTCCGTAATTCTGATACGGTTGTGGATTATTGTTGATCGGAGAGTGATGAATATGATGAAGCTGAGACGGTAGTTGAGTGAGAGTTCCAGACAATCCGTTGTATAAAGCTGCTTCATATTCACTAGTATTCCTCT